GTTCATAACTGAGCATATTAGAATGATTTCTGAAGGATCACGTGACACTGAAGACTGGAGTAATGATGCTGAACATGTTTTGTATTTTTGAGCCTTGGTGAGCATAAAAGACCATGTTCAACAACATGAAAAAAAAATCGTAATTATTCCCAAGTTTGTTTTGACGGCACTGAAGTGTTGTTCCAGCACACGGGGCTCAGACGAAGCCGTACCAGCGGTTTGTGCAGCACCAAGCTGTTGGAGGTCACAGTATGCTCGCCCTCCTGCATCATGGCCATCTCTCCGCTGTCATCCGAGCCGTCCACCAGGCTGTTCACTGAAGAGCTCTGGGAGCTGGCGCTGATGGACATAGACGGCAGCGAATGGGAGCTCTCCATGCTATTTACCGTGCCCATCCGCAGCATGTACTGCTCCACATCCTAAACACACCAGAGTGCATTAAACACAAGTGAGACAGACCCCCCCCCCGCTCCTGTGATCAGCTGGGAATGCCATCTGCAACAGAACATGACATCTGCTTTATAGACGTGACCAAGACTGATCCGATGTAGATCTGAGAACTCACATGACTGACATGATGCTATTCATCAACAGTAAAAATCTGCATCATAAACAGAATGTCCATCATTACACTGGATCCGTGCAGTCGGTCTTAAAGTGACAGCAGCCTAATAAACCTGCCTTTACTGGAAAAAAACTACGGCACTGTTTATTTAATTGATATCTTATATAATTTTTGTTCTGTTGTTTGTTATTTGCATCTTTAGTCTCACGTTTAATAACAAATATAAAATAATAAACAGGTTATGGTTGTCACAGCTAGAAAAAATAAAAATCTGAAAGAAAAAGTTTAAGCGTGTGCATTATTAATTATTAAAGAATTAGAGAAGATGCATTGTGGTGCATCAAATTGTATTCAAATTGTCAAGATTCCCAACTCTAGTGTGTTCATAACACATTTATGACAGATTAGTGTAAAACATGGATAGTAAGCAAGCAGAACAGTTTTATCCATCGATCGTCAGAATTGTGGTCTCATAACAAAGGATCAAGTGTAAAGATTGAAAAATATGGAAAAAAAGGGGGAAAAAAGTAAAGCCATTTCAGAGACAGAGCTAGTATGAAAAAACACTGCAAAGTGTTGTGGCTAGAAGGGATACAGCTAAAATCAATAAATTACATTTTCTACCTATTAGATTGTGTTTTATTATTGTCTACTCCTACCCCTTACAATAACGCTATACTGATGTGCGCATGCCCAGTAGTTTTAGCTGAACCCCTTCTAGCCTTAACCACTACAAAGACAAAGCTCTTCACAATAGCGGGCCCTGAAAGCAAATAAGGTCATTCTTGAGTTCATTTTGACTTTAAGGCGAGCAATGCATCAATTTGCCATGATGTCACAAACAAATCACTCAAGGTCAAAACAGTGCAAAAGAACAAAGACTCAAACGCCAAACATCTGAAACATGAGCTGACGAATGTCTGAAAAGAAACCCAATCCTAAATCATGTTTTGTCTATTGTTTGTCTATTATTTACTGTCCTGAGCACCCAGCACATCTGATATTCCCAAATATAGCTGTTCTACTGCCGTGTCGTGTGACCCTGAAAATCAACTTTCCTTGTTTTGATTTGACAACAAGGCAATCTGAAAGGTCATGATCCCACCTCTTCCTCCTCGGGCCCCTCTGTGGCGGGGCCATTGGCCGTCTCCTGGAAGAGGATCTTCTTCATCTTCCGGTACTGCAGGTTATCTAGCTCCCTCACGGCGTCTTTAGTGCGTGCGATCAGATCCATCACCGCCGTCACCGGACGCTCGCGGCACAGGAAGTGATGCTGGAGAAACAAAGCCCAGAGCATCATCTCAAACCCGCAGTGTCCGGAACGCATCATGCTTAGAAAGTCTTTAAAAGACGTTTACTTTAAGCAGCACATCAGAGGTAGGTCTGTCCTGGGCGATCTTCTGCAGACAGGAGTCTACGAAGTTACGGAAATAATCCGACCTGAGAGGTTAGGAAACAAAATATGCAAATCAAAAGGCAGCATCTAGCTGTAATGAATTATAAACAAATCTATAAAATTATTACATATATTGTTATTATGAAGCACAATCCCTCATATCATGATATAATATCTTGGTTGTATCACCACCCCTAATTTTTTGTAATAAACATAAATATTACTTAATCTAATTACTGAGTACAGTGGGGGAAGTCGTGGCCTAATGGTTAGAGTCGGACTCGTAACCCAAAGGTTGCGAGTTCGAGTCTCAGGTCCTGTTAATACTAATCAAACAACAAAAGACAGAGAAAATCACTCAATGCTCTTGACTGAATAACATTACTTGCTTTAATAAAATTCTGTGTATATTTAATTAAAACAGTAAACACTAGGTAGTGTTTCAGTATTATTTATTTTTGAGTAGCCCTGTTAAATAGACCTACTGTTTCACATTTGCAACATCTGTGGATAGATGATTGCCGAATTTCACTGATTTGCGTTGAGAAGCATTTGTAGACCTCCCTCCCGGCTTGATGGTTTAATTCTTGCAAGTAAAGAAACTAAGACACGTTTTATAATTTCACTACTGTAGTAATTTTAATACTTATGAAACTGTTTTTTTTATTATTTTACAAAGAAGTTAATACAATAGCCTAATTTTTTGTAATAAACATAAATATTACTTAATCTAATTACTGAGTACAGTGGGGGAAGTCGTGGCCTAATGGTTAGAGTCGGACTCGTAACCCAAAGGTTGCGAGTTCGAGTCTCAGGTCCGGCAGGGATTGTGGGTGGGGGGAGTCAATGTACAGTGCTCTCTCCACCTTCAATACCTCGACTGAGGTGCCCTTGAGCAAGGCACCGAACCCAACTGCTCCCCGGGCGCCGCAGCAAAAAATGGCTGTCCACTGCTCCGGGTGTGTGTTCACGGTGTGTGTGTGTTCACTGCTGTGTGTGTGCACTTTGGATGGGTTAAATGCAGAGCACTAATTCCAAGTATGGGTCACCATACTTGGCCACGTCACGTCACTCAACATATTTACCAAATTGAGACATATTTGAAGGCTACATACATACACAACACTATATTATACACAAATGACAAATGTTTCTTATAAGTATTTTCAACAGCATATAGTAAATGGTTTTAGGCTTTCAAGTTGAATTTTCTGCAATCAGAATGTTTTTCAGAGGAATATGAATGCAGCGCTGCTTTGGAAACAGTGTGGATGAAGCCTCTACCAGTGATTGGACTGCAGGACCGGGCTCTCGTTCTGGGCGATGTGGTATAAGGCACTCATAGCATTCATATTAAACAAGGGAGGCTTTCTCTCCGCTACAACAGAGGAAAAGGAAACAAGCAAGCGGTTAGCTGCAAGGCTTCTATTGTAAGCATAAGACTGTAAACAGTAATTTAATATTATTGTCTATGGTGATCAACAGCAAGCCATTAATGAATGAATTAATTAATGAATGCATGCATTTATATAGCGCTGCACAGAATCTGAAAAAAGGTAAATTTCACACCAGAGATGCACTGTGTTCTCGGACTAGGCCTAGGCTCTGGACTAGGGTTGGGTGCATTCGCATTTTAATGTAATTTAAAACGTTAAAACAGAGAACAGCGTTCTCGGTGCGGACTCCCGGTTTGTTCGTTCGTTCTCAATTCGTTCCGTGCATTTCACTGCAGAAAAGGTTGTTTCGAGCCGGAACTGGCTTCTTTCATATTTATCGACCACCGTGCAGAAACCACGTCAGTATTTCATCATAAACACAGCCGTTCTCATTCACACAGATGAGAAAGAAAACGCTCGTGTACAGTATCTTTAGATCTCACCAGCGGCGAAAACTTACATACTGTGCCTTTAATTACAGATTCTATACCTGAAATTTGGTTCAGTTGTATTTATTTATGCTATTGCTAAGTGATTTGTTTGTTCCTATTTTATTACTGACTGTTTACTTGTCTTTAACACTTCAATATTTGAAATTGATATTAGTCTAGTTGTTTTTGCTGTGGTAGTTTTGTTCCTCTTCTGTAGGCTGCCGATTCTTGTGTGATTCAGCTGCAACAGAATGCTTTGTAAAATGACACAGAATAAATGTTTGACATCTTTTTATGTTTTTTATGTTGGAATCGAAACTAGGAATCGGTAAGAATCGGACTTGATCATTCAAACCCTACTCTGGACAGCAGAGCCGACTCACCAAGCTCTATGCAGGTGATGCCGAGTGACCACACATCAACCTTCCCGTCATACTGGCCTTCATCCATGGCGAGGATGACCTCTGGAGCCATCCTGCAAACACAGCACAACTCACTCATACCTGCCCAATAGATACATCTAACACCCAAGTAAACCACTTAATTAAATTAAGAGTGTATTTCTGCCAAATGTGCTGTTGTAAGGAATGGGAAGTGTTTTGTACCAGTAAGGTGTGCCCACAAAGGAGTTGGCAGGAGCAACGATGGAGGCGGAGCCGAAGTCTCCCAGTTTGACTTGGCCAGGCTCTGTCAGTAAGATGTTCCCTGCTTTCACATCTCTATAGAGGAAGAAACATATCTAGTGTATTGCTGTAACTGAAGGCGACAGCAGAGACATTCTGAGCTGGTACCTTGACTGTTTTAGGCCTGTCTTTGACAGCTGACTCCCCAATATGTTCATATTAATATTCTGTGCACTGGTTAGTTCACAGCAACTTTTTCGTTAAGGGACACCATTTGCCACCTAAAACTGATTTCCTGGGGCATTCGTGCCATTCTGAGCAATGTTTTAGAACCTTATTCGATTTATGAATCATCTTTTATTTCAAATGAATAAATTGACAATGAATAATTACAATCATAAGTTACCAGTCATATGAAATAAGCACCAACAAAATTCCTTTTTACACTGCAGAAGTGGCACAGAAGCTGCATTTGGATGTACTGCAACACTGCAATTGAAACTGCATAAATAATGCTACGAGATACAATATTTTGAATGTTGTAAAACGTAATGCTTTTTAAAAAAATTAAATATGAAACTAAACCACTCATGGGTGCCTTCACCAGTGAGTCATTGAATAATTAACTCAACCAATTCTTCAAGAAGCAAGTGGCTGTCTTTATAACTAACTCATTGAATCACTGATTCATTCATTAAGACAGATTCATTCAGCAACAAAACACGTGTTTTATTCAGCTGTTGCGACTTTGTCTGGAACTGTTTAGTTTGCCAATGTGAGTAAAAATAGACAAAATGTGTCTAAAATGTAAATCGCACTGTTAACGTCTTGTTTTTAAAAACCGTTGTATAAAGTCAATATCACATTTAGAATCCTGCTGATATTCGGGAAAAAAGCACGCACACTCCATCATGTCAGCTTCCACATTGCTGAAGCCACAGTTAAAATATCACTGAACACAATATGTATCTCACACACCATGCTTTTGTTAAAACCAAGAATCGAGCGGCTCTGTACCTGTGAATCATGTTGTGCGAGTGGAGGTATACCAAGCCCTGCAATGCACCATGGGTAACTGCTGCAATCTCCACTTCCTGTAATGGTTTCTTGTGCACTGAGGGGAAAGAGGAAGAAAACAACGGGATCCTGTTTTTTGTTTCTGCATCATTTTACACTTCTGCATCCGACGAACGGCTCTGAGCATCCTCGTGCTTCCAGAAACAATTCACTCACCTTCCAGCAGATCCGAGGCCGAGCCCAAACAGTACTCCATCACCAGCTGCAGGAAAGCAGACACAGAAAAGAGGAAGGTGGAGAGAAAGAAAAGGTATAAGTGCTGTTAGCAAGTGACAGGTGGTGCGTTTGGAGCTGCTACTGTAGTAAATGTAAACAGTGTTAGCGGCTCAGTGCATTCTCTCCCACACACAGAAGCACTCACCCATGCTGTGTGTTCACGCAGGTAGCAGCCTCTGTACTCCACAGTGTTGGGGTGCCGCAGCTTTTGAAGGAACTTCACCTCTTTCACGATATCCTGCCATTTCTGCAGCAGGAACGAGAGAACAATGGAACAATCACAAGACTACTGAGCATATTGACAGTAGACTTCCTTGTACTAATTGCTCTTGGCTATGTTACCTTCTCTCTTTCTCTCTCCTTTCCCTCATATTTTTACTTTGTCTAGATAATTTACTTATATTTTGTATTTTAGTAGCAGTTTTTATTGTGCATTTATGTTTCTGTAATTTTTTCTGTATTTTACTTTTTACTTCCTTTTTTTTTTCATATGATGTGTATATGTGTAATGATGCTCTTTCTTTGTTTTTAGGGTGACCTTTTAACATTCTGTCAAGGGTCTACAGATGAAAAATAGCATTTTTGGCTAATTCTGGCACATTTACAGTTGTTTATTAATATGCATTGCCCCTGTAAACAAATAAACTTAAACTTAGCCAGAGAGACACTGCATGATTTGCATAATTTGAATACAATGCTGGGGAAAACAACAGAACTTGGTAAGATGCCGGTAAACACAAGAAACGGTATTCTATGAGCGCATATGAACTGAGCTGCTTTCCTGTCTCAAGCCTACATAGGCAGCATCCTAACTATAACCTCACAAGAAAAACGGCTCGAGATGACTCAACTCAGAACGGAGTGCTCTTTTTCATTGGTCTTGGTTCTGGAAGTGTTTTTCCATAGAAGTCTTTGTTTAAGAGTTATAAGCCATGATCAAAAAACATGAGAGTGACAAGATTACAAACTTTGATTTGAAGCAAAAAATTATTCTAAAATTGGACAAAAGTACAAGACTGAGCACTTCACCCAGCGTTAATGAGGAAAAGAACTACAATCCCATTAATGGCCTCATCAAATTAAACATGACAGAGAAATATAAACCTATTCATTTTATGTTGGGTGTGTGTATATTTACTAGAGGTGTAACAGTACACGCATTCATACCGAAAATTGTCGGTACGTGTCTTTCTGTTCGGTACGCATGTGTACAGAACAAATCAATCAATTTAAAAAAAAAACTCAGACAGTAAATGGCATTTTGGTGCTCTTTGATGTGGCGAGACAGATTACTGTATAAACGCCTCAGTTTTCATCTTTACTACTAGTTATAACACAAAATATACATGAATGAACATCTCATGTGATCGCTCTATCAGTGTTTCAATTACAGAAAGACGTGTCATTAAAACAGCTTGCAAACAAAATGTCACGCAGCATTTCATTTCCCTCAGGCAAGTCATCAGTGTCCACAGCTCGTTATTTGCTAGAGAAATTAAGTCTAGAGAAGAGCATTTTGAGAAATATTAGACTATATACACTTCATTATATTTTACTTTACCTGTTAGTGGTGTCTTAAATATTTAATGAACATTTAAATAAGCCTTTTATGAAACAAGTTATTACAGCAAGTGCGTAAATGATTATATTTCAACAACAAACAGAAATTGTATAATTTAGAAAATCTGCATTATGTGCAATTTACATGTTTGCGTACAAATTTTAATTTGAGTGTTGATTATTATGGTTAAAAATAAATAGCAATTGAATTTAGGTTTGGGTTCTGTTGTTAACTGCAACCTATAGTAATGTAAAAGGGCTCCATATAGTTTAGAGCAGAAGCTGAGGTAGATTTTTATCCATAAGAAAATTTTAATTGTAATAGAATTTATTTAAAGAAAATGCAATTTGTTTAGTAAACCACTGTTTAAGTTAAAACACACACACACACACATAGATACATACATATGTATATACACACATACACACACACACACACACACACACATATATATATATTAGTGATGCGCGGATGGCGGTTATATCCGCGGGCGCTGCGTAGAGTGTAGTAAGACTGACTCATTGGCAGTGATTTGTGTGAGCTGGCGGAGCTACAGAGCTCTTCTGGTGTGATTTGCTTGTTTTGATTCTCTGATTGGTGGAGATTTCTCTGCAGAATCATGGGTAACAGTATTTCACCAGGAATTCCATTGTTAACCATGATTAAGTTAGCACTTAAAAATAAGTCCTGTATGGAGAAAATAAATGGGATTTTTACCTCAGGAACTCGACTGACACAGCTCGATGTTAGCATGTAGCCAAGTTAACAATGCAACACTTTTTATTTTATAAATATTTAGTATATCTATTACCACCAGACTGAACTATTTTGCTGATATTTCTTGTTTTTGGCCAAATTATGTAGCCCTACAAACAAGCACAACAAACCAGTTGTTCTTTTTGACATAATTGCATTTAAAAATTTAACCAGAAAAATCGCAATTGCATTTTGCCCAAATCATGCAGCGCTACTTTCCAGTGTGCTTGTGTTTCCTCAAACAGGGTATACTTTGAAATGCATTTGCACTCAAACTGAAAGCAGTATAATATTCTGCCAACATTTTCAAACATCCTTGGTGTCAGAAGTCTGCCTATGATACCTAAAAAAATGCTTTCCAGGTAGGCAGCTCAATAGGTTTTGGAACGGAGCCATCATCTTGCTTACATAAAGCCACCAGCATGATGTTCAAGTTTTCTTGCAGACCGATTCTAGCAGTCACACTGCTTTGTTTGACTAAAGATGTAGGAGCACTGTGTTGGTATGTTTGTGTTCACCTCATTAGACTGCTTGCCACTGTAGGACATCTTCTTGATGGCCACCACCTCATTGGTGCGGATGTCATGGGCCTGTAAGAAGCGTGCAAACACACGTGAGGCACAGACTCTGCTCACTGAGCTGTGCTGCACTTCTGAATGTCTAAAGGCCACTCACAAAGTAGACGGCTCCGAAGCTGCCATGGCCGATCTCCCGCAGGTCTGTGAAGAGTTTCTCAGGATCCTCCTTGTAAAAAAGTTCTGCCACCTCTGGGTCCTTGAGACTCCCAGCCCGCGCACTCGACGGCATGGCCAGCGCCTTCACTCACACACACACACACACACACACACACGCGCACGCACGCACACACAACAGGGAGTTTGCACATTAACATCTGAGGAAACGGGAATGGAATGAACACAGCTATAAATATGTGACCCTGGACCCTGAAACCAGTCATAAGGGTCAATTTTTTTTAAAATTGAGATTTATACATCACCTGAAATCTGAATAAATAAGCTTTCCATTGATGTATGGTTTGTTAGGATATGGCAATATTGGCTGAGATACAACTATTTGAAAATCTGGAAACAAAACATTTGAGAAATATAAACTTCTGTTGGTCACAGAGTTTATTTTTTGTCCAAAAGCCAATGCAACATCCTATTGGTTTATTGTCGAGGGAATCAGGGTGATGCGAACTTCTAGTTTGGCCTACAAAAACACACTATGACTGCGGCGCTCAATTGTTGCCAGTCTAAAGTTTGCAGATAACCATGTAGATGAGCCAGAAGACTACTGGGAGAATGGTTTGTGGACCGATGAGACCAAAACAGAACGGTTAGTTTTAAAAGAGAAGTGTTATAATTGGCCTTTAGTAAAAGGAACCTCATCAACCTCTTCTCTTCCCCAGGACAGATCTGACTGAACTGAAGCTACACTGAACATGAGAACTGCAGGACAGTGACCACATGTTGAAGAAGCAGAAGAAAGAGACTGTTTTTTGAAAGGCCTAATCACAGTTGTTCATCACAGAGTTGAAGCCATGCTGATGTCCAGGACTGGGTTCAGAACAAAGATGCAGTTCAAGTTAAAATATGCAACATTTTTAAGCATTTAATTGGGTTGTATGCATCTAGTTAAACAGCTCAGAAGAAGGTCTGGTCTCAGCGAAGGTCAGATTTATGCAGAAAACTCTTAAGGGTTCACGAACAGTCAAGCGCCACTAAATAATGCAGAAGTGCATTATATAAGAACAACAATCAGAGCGACGATCTGAACCAGACACAATTGAAATGATTGTATGAGAATAATTGTGCTTGAGCGATCAAAAGCAGGCCGCTGGACCAGACTCACAATTCAGATTCACACCTTCCCATGATGCTCGGAGTCATATTCATGTTAAGATCACGCCTGTGAACACACGCTAAACGACTCACCTGGAAAGAGCAACAGCAGATGAAGTCTGAGAGCAGACAGCGTGTCGCAGTAAAAGGAACTATGACTTTCACATGCATAACAGTCTTGTGTGACTCCAGTGTTTGATATTCGATAAGGCCTCTAAATTATCAAAACTTTGCTGAAAAACCCATTGTGCAGAATCTACCACATGCCTTCTGTGTGAGAGTCAGTTCACGCTGTAAAAGGCTGTTTAGTACGATTGTAAAAATGTCAGGTCTCGGTTCACGTGTCTTTTTGCTGCTAATCATTAGATTTTTAAAGTAAATGTAATAACTTTCATATTGTTATTAGCAAGATAAATATGTACTGGACAGAAGCAACTGAGGTTTATTTGATTATCCATAAATAATGTTTTAAAAAAAATCACACTCAATTATGATCATCAGGCTTTTGAGGAGTGCTTATTTCTTCATCTCTCAATCATCATTGTATTGCACTGCATTATGTTCAATCAATTAAATATGTGGAGCACAAAACCAGTCATAAGGGTCAGTTTTATACAATTGAGTGAATAAATAAGCTTTCCATTGATGTATGGTTTGTTAGGATAGGACAATATTTGGCTGAGATACAACTATTTGAAAATCTGGAATCTGAGGGTGCAAAAAAATCGAAATATTGAGAAAATCATCTTTAAAGTTGTCCAAATGAAGTTCTTAGCAATGCATATTACTAATCAAAAATTAAGTTTTGATATATTTACGGTAGGAAATTTACAAAATATCTTCATGGAACATGATCTTTACTTAATATCCTAATGATTTTTGGCATAAAAGAAAAATGTATAATTTTGACCCATACAATGTATTGTTGGCTATTGCTACAAATATACCCCAGCGACTCTAAATTATCAAAACGAGCTGCGCCTCGGTCTTACCGTGGTGTGCGGGATCCACTGCGGCTAGCTCGAGACCGCTAGCCTAGCACCGGCCTGCTGAGGAGAATCCCGCCAATCCTTCCCGCCTCACTTCACAAACACGACCGACTCAAACCGCGAGCCATAGACTGCTAACGCCACGATCGCGATCACTGCCGTTCATGTGTGTGTGAATGTATAATACCGCCGTGATCCGTTAACGGACTCGATCAGCTGCCTGTCAGCGAGCTCTTTAAACCACAGTCCGGTTTTCCGCTTCCGCCGCGAGTGTGGGCTTCGCTTCTGCTCATGCCGTCGGTGTCAGGCGTGCAGTTCGCCTCTTTCTGTCATCGACAGCTCCATCTCTGTTTTTCTGTTCCTCTCTCATTCGCTTTTTGTTCAGGACTTCATGATGGCGGAGCGGGGCGGGAGCCGACCGGAAACCGGAAGTGCAGGTGAAGCGCAAATTAAGGGTTTCTAATCTTCTGTAAATACGCGTTTCATTACAGCTAGTGGTGGAAATTTTGATTCTTTCAAGAGATTCGTTCATTTTCAGTTCGTTCACCAAAATGATTCGTACACTGATTCGTTCAGTGACCATTTCTTCATATGACATATACGCCAGCAGGTGGCGAAAAAGAGTGTCTTATGTATTATGTCTTAAAGGGATAGTTCACCCAAAAATAAAAATTCTGTCATTAATTACTCACCCTCATGTCGTTCTAAACCCGTAAGACCTTCGTTCATCTTCTGAACACAAATGAAGATATTTCTGATGAACTCCGAGAGCTCTCAGACCCTGCATAGACAGCAACACAACTGTAATGTTCTCAGGTCCAGAGACGTAGCAAATACATCAGTAAAACAGTCCATGTGACATCAGCGGCTCAACTTCAGTTTTGCGAAGCTACGAGAATACTTTTTGAGCGCAAAGAAAACAAAAATAACATATTTTTTTCAACAATTCTTCTCCCCCGAGTTACGTCTTCCGCCACTTTAGAGAGTATGACAATGCATACGCACGCTTTCCCCTAAGCCTAAACGCCGCTGATTACGCTGATTACGCTGATTACGCTCCTTGGGTACTCTCCAACATGGCGGAAGCCGTAACTCAGCGTACGCTCTTCTGTGTCAGCCGCGCTGCATGGATGCGCTGTTTTCGTTCAAATCAAAGATTAAACTGTGTTCCGAAGACGAACGAAGCTTTCGGGGGTTTGTAACGACATGAGGGTAAGTGATTAATGACAACATTTTCATTTTGGGGTGGAGTATCCCTTTAAGTAGCATCTCAGTGAAAATTACAGTAATATTTCTTAGGTGCGGATATGGTTTTGATTGAAATACTAATTGAAAACAAATTACTCTGCTAATTTAATTTCATTTGGTAATTATAATTTATTATATTATTAATTTATTAAGTTTAACATGAATAATAACGAATTAACATGAATTTACTAATTAAATTAATCTATTTTATTTTTAGGTGGGGATGTGGTTTTGACTTGCATACCTCATGAAAACAATTTAAGCTGCTAATTCAACTTATATTTATAAATATATATTATTAAGTTATGATTAAGTTTCATAATTTTAATAATAACATTTATTATTTTAATAATAGAATATTATAACTTATTAATTTATATTGTTATGAAAGCAGATTTGTATGCTAATGTAATTAATTTTATATGCAATGTCTGAGTAAGCATTATTTTACTGTTTAGATTTGGACGTGTGTTTGTCTGGAAATACACAGCAGCTTGAAGTCTGTCTCCTAGCTTTGAGACCCTGCACACTCTAGTGTACTGTACGTGGTGCATACTAAGTTTGGGATTATAAATACGTTTCTTATTCTCTCTTCTCTATACGGCAGTAACATATAGAGACCTCGGCTTGTAACTATACTCTAATTACTATTTTGAAAATTATAAAGCATTAAATTACTCAGTTACTAAAAAAGTTATCAAATTACAGTAACATATTACTAAGTAATGCGTTACTGCCCAACACTGAAAGTAACGTGTTACATAATCAGATTACTTTTTTAAAGTAACTAGTAAAGTAGCGCATTACTTTTTAATTTAGAAGGAAACATCTGAGTTACTTTTTCAAATAAGTAAATTGTTACTTTGTTTCCATGTGTTGAGTGACAGCTCTGGTGTTGCCATGGTGACAGAAATCAGGAGTAAGTGCAGAGCGTTGTGTGTGAACATGATCTTACTGTAGTTCTAGACTAAATATCAACATGTGTTTACTCATCTCACTGCACACAAACACATTCAGTGTTCCTCACAATCAATAAAAACAGTTAAATGCAAACTCAGAATATTATACAAACCTGCAATAATTAAATATGTTAAATAAGACAAATATCATTAATGTATTTAATCCCATTTTATTAACCAGTGTCAAGTCAAGTCACCTTTATTTATATAGCGCTTTTAACAATACAGAGTCAAAGCATCAAAGCAGCTTTACAGTATCAAACATGAAAACAGTGTGTCTGTGCAAAAGGACAACAGTAAACACTCAATCACTGTCTTTGCTGCTGACCTTCGATGATCCAATTCAATTTAATAAGCAAAAATGTCACATTTGTGTTTCATTTTTGTTTTTGCTGAATAGTGCTGAACTTTCTTCTTCTGCGTCATATTCTTCATGTGATTAGTTTGAGCTGCGCCCTCTACTGTACAGACGTGAATTTACATTTCCTTCAGCCTGAGGCACATTCATTCCACTTTTGGTGTGAAAGGGCTTTTACATTCCTAAAAGAATAACTTTTTTATATTAAAAACTAACAAGCAAGCCCTGCCCAGATTTAAAAAGTAACTCAAAAGTAACGTAACGCATTATTTTTTACAGTATCAAACATGAAAACAGTGTGTCTGTGCAAAAGGACAACAGTAAACACTCAATCACTGTCTTTGCTGCTGACCTTCGATGATCCAATTCAATTTAATAAGCAAAAATGTCACATTTGTGTTTCATTTTTGTTTTTGCTGAATAGTGCTGAACTTTCTTCTTCTGCGTCATATTCTTCATGTGATTAGTTTGAGCTGCGCCCTCTACTGTACAGACGTGAATTTACATTTCCTTCAGCTTGAGGTGAATACGTTTCACTTTTGGTGTGAAAGCGTATTTACATTTGTAAATGAAGAACTTTTTTATATAAAAACAAACAAGCAAGCCCTGTCCAGATTTAAAAAGTAACGCAAAAGTAACGTAACGCATTACTTTCCATAAAAAGCAACTAAGTAACATAATTAGTTACTTTTTTTAGGGAGTAACGCTATATTGTAATGCATTACTTTTAAAAGTAACTTTCCCCAACACTGCTTGTCACATTCAGGCCTCATGCTGTGCTACTGTAACTCAGAGACACACACCTGGGCTCTCATAAACACATTATCTGCCATCACAGACCCAATAAACTGTGAAGCGCTGCGGTCAGTAATGAGCCGGACGACACCTCCACTTCCCCTCACAAACAACAACTACAACAACAGACCCAGTGTGTGCAGGCCGCTCATCTTTCTGCAAACAAGCTAACAGATCAGCCGGGTTCTGTTTCATTCTACAGCAGAAAGATTTTACTAGCGGTGCCTAAATGTGCATTAAACGTCTTCATGTCGAACAGGTAAACTCTTCTTTCACAGCCTCATTATGTTTGTAATTATGAACTGTTCTAACTTTCAAGGAAAATGTTTTAAAATACAGACTGAAGAGTTTCAGAAGCTTAACGTTGGTGATGTAGATCGCTCAGCTTTTTACTTCTAGCGATTGCATTTAGGGACTAAAGTCGTGTTCGTTTGAGAAGATTATGATGAACAAAACATGTGAGAATCATAAACTTCTGCTGGTCACAGAGCTTATTTTGTGCAATAATCCAAAAGCCGATGGACAATCCTATTGGGTTTTTGTTGGAGGAACGGGGTGATGAGAACTGACCGTTTGACCTACAACCTAAAAACGGTTTCTTTAAACACCATCTGAAGCATTTGTTAATCTGTCAGAAGACATCTGAAGGTGTCTGAATGTTTTCCTTACAGACCAAACTGTGTCACCAAAACGCCTCACGCTCACCACCGGCTGAGCTCGGACAGAATTACACTTCAGATCACTTCAGGATGACCTTTACATCTAACATTCATCAGCTCTGAATTCAGACAGTCCCAGTACATCACACAGTGTTTTCAGCTTGAGCTTCCTCTTTCCTCTCGCTGCGGGAGACAGAAACATCAGCTCAGATCACAACCAGACAGCCAACAGATAAATAAAACGCAATACATGGAATATAATATAAATTTGTAGGCTTATGGGGATGTTGCAATAATGTAATATAATATAATATAATATAATATAATATAATATAATATAATAATATATTTAAAGTATGGTTTCAACATATACATTTTAACATTTTTTTTAAATTAGCACAAATATATTTTATTTTAAAAAGTACAAATATGAATTACAATGAACAATAGTTTATTTATAAATTAACATTAACCTAGATTAATAAATGCTGTAAAAATGTACATTGCTGTGATATAGCTAATGCATTAACTAATTTCAACAAACTGAATTTATTTAAAACTATTTTTTATTAAACGTACCATGAATTAATAAAAAAATCCCAACTATTATACTGTTGTTTTTAACTGTATTGTGCTTTTTCTCTTCTATCTATCTATCTATCTATCTATCTATCTATCTATCTATCTATCTCTCCTTAGGAACAATTGTTTATGAATATAATATAATATAATATAATAATATATTTAAAGTATGGTTTCAACATATACATTTTAACATTTTTTTTAAATTAGCACAAATATATTTTATTTTAAAAAGTACAAATATGAATTACAATGAACAATAGTTTATTTATAAATTAACATTAACCTAGATTAATAAATGCTGTAAAAATGTACATTGCTGTGATATAGCTAATGCATTAACTAATTTCAACAAACTGAATTTATTTAAAACTATTTTTTATTAAACGTACCATGAATTAATAAAAAAATCCCAACTATTATACTGTTGTTTTTAACTGTATTGTGCTTTTTCTCTTCTATCTATCTATCTATCTATCTATCTATCTATCTATCTATCTATCTATCCTTAGGAACAATTGTTTATGTTGTAGTTTTGGATAAAATCTTCACATTTAAGGAGATGCATGAGATTATAAGGCCTTTTTCTTGAAGAAACATCTGAGAAGTGAAAGTCCATTTGCTGTCTAAGATATTTACTGAATAAAATCTAACTTATAATTTTTCTTTCTGTGGGTAGAGTGTGATGTGGATCAATAAGATGTTGAGAGAATCACAGATACCTGTTAACTCAGACACTAGCTAATACAACTCAGAGAGTCTAAAAACCACTAAAAACTCATTTTAGTCATTAGAAAGGAACACAGTCAATGCTGAAGCAGACTTGCTCTGATGTTTTAGGTTTGATGTGCTAAGCAATGTGAAAATGTGTGTTTATTTAGCC